CGGTTCCGTCAACGTTGCACCAAAGGATAAAATTTGCAATGGATGGGAGGCTTATATGCATTCATGCTGAGGAAGACATTATTGCTTCGGTTTCTACTACTGCTCCATACGTTGAAGTGGAAGAGCAAGCTGTTGAATGTTCTTTCAGATCGTTGGAATACGTCAATGCCATGTTTGCGGCAGAAGGAAAGAAGATCCCGAAGCCTAGATTGTCAAACTGCACCAAAATGGGGCTTAAGCTGACTCTTGGAAGAGGAGCAAAAACTGGCAAAGGGTTTGGACGTCGGTTGCAAGGACTGGTGGGCCCAATCTACCCCGTAACTAAAAGAGACAGGTTCGGTTTAGGGTATCAGCCAACTTTAAAAGAAAAAATGAGAAGCATCAAGAAGATTCAGGAATTGAGAAAGGCAAGATTGACTGGTGAGGACCCAAGCTGGGAGCCCATGACATTCCCGCCATTGAGCAGCATTTTCGTATCAGGAGGATATATGTTTCAAGGGACTTTGGAAAGCAGTAAAGGGATAGTTGAGAATGCCTTGGAGGACTTGGGCATTAATGTCATAACCAATGAGGAGTTCAAAGAAATGAGAGCTATGGGCATCTACCCTGCGCCACTGGGCTTTGTGTTGAACAACTGGACTGCGGAGGAATTGCCTGTAGTTTACAAATCTTTTGTAGAGTAATACACTAGAACTCTTCCCTATTGTTCATACCCTGGGACAGTAGGTGATTTGATGTAAAGGGTTAAGTTGTGTGTCTTTACTTGCTTTCAATAAAAGATGTGTTTTGTTGATTCCCGAATGGAAAACACTTCCTCATGCATTTTTGTTTGAATATACACATATATTATTTCTTTCTATTTGTTTATATGGGAAAAGATTCTCCCATATGTATATATGTATATATGTATATATCTTCTTTTCCGTTATCCTTTCAGGAACTCAGATATCAATAATACGAATGCTAATGACTCTGACCCGGAGATTGATTTCGAGATGCCCATATGTCAAGGGGAAATCGAAGGTTGTGATGAGGATGAGGGATGTGAACCACCCTCAGAATTACTAAAGATGGTGGAACAGGAAGATGAGCAGATCCTGCCTCACGAAGAGCTTACAGAGATCTTGAACCTGGGTACAGATGAGGATAGAAAGGAAATAAAGATTGGTACCACCCTGTCTACTGAAGGGAGGCAAAGCTTTATAGAATTACTTCAAGAGTTCAAGGATGTATTTGCTTGGTCATACGAGGACATGCCAGGGCTGGATACAGAATTGGTTGTCCATAAATTACCAATAAAGCCTGATTGCAAGCTCGTACAACAGAAACTGAGAAGAATGAGACCCGAGATGCTGCTCAAGATTAAAGAAGAAGTGAAGAAACAATTTGATGCTGGATTTCTCACAGTGGCCAAATATCCTGAGTGGGTAGCAAATATTGTCCCAGTACCAAAGAAGGATGGGAAAGTACGAATGTGTGTCGACTATAGAGATCTGAATAGAGCTAGTCCAAAGGATAATTTTCCTTTGCCACATATAGATACGTTAGTGGACAATACTGCTGGAAATTCCTTATTCTCATTTATGGATGGTTTCTCCGGCTATAATCAAATTAAAATGTACCCTGAAGATATGGAGAAAACAACGTTTATCACTATGTGGGGGACGTTTTGCTATAAAGTCATGCCGTTTGGATTAAAGAATGCAGGGGCAACCTATCAGAGGGCCATGGTGACGTTGTTTCATGACATGATGCATAAAGAAATTGAAGTCTATGTCGATGATATGATTGTCAAAGCCAAGACGGAGGAGGAACATGTCGAGAATTTGAGGAAGCTCTTTCAAAGATTAAAGAAGTGCCAACTAAAACTTAACCCAAATAAGTGTACTTTTGGGGTGACATCGGGAAAACTGTTGGGATTCGTAGTGAGCCGAAAGGGAATCGAAATAGATCCCGATAAAGTAAAAGCCATTCAAGATTTGCCAGCCCCAAGAACACAGAAAGAGGTTCGAGGATTTTTGGGGAGATTAAATTACATCGCTCGGTTTATCTCGCAGCTGACCGAAAGATGTGATCCCATATTCCGCCTTCTTCGTAAGAATGATTCAGGAGAATGGAGTGAAGATTGCCGAGAGGCTTTTGAGGCAGTAAAGAGATATCTTTCGAATACTCCGATCCTAGCGCCACCTATCCCAGGAAAGCCTTTAATTCTTTACTTGTCCGTTTATGACAATTCAATGGGATGTGTGTTGGGGCAACATGATCAAACTGAGAAGAGGGAGAGGGCTATCTACTATCTCAGTAAGAAGTTCACTGAGTGTGAGGCCAGATACTCACCAATTGAAAAATTGTGTTGCGCTTTTGTGTGGGCTACCAGAAGACTTAGACAGTATATGTTGTATCATACTACCTGGCTCATATCTAAGCTGGACCCTTTAAAGTATCTAATGGGGGTACCTGCATTGTCTGGAAGGTTAGCCCGTTGGCAAATCCTGTTGTCCGAATTTGATATCCAGTATGTAAGCCAGAAGGCAGTTAAAGGGAGCGCCATAGCAGAATTCATTGCGAGTAGGGCTTCAGAAGAATATGAACAGTTGAATTTCGATTTCCCGGATGAGGATTTAATGGCTATCTCGGAGGAAGAAACAATTGCTCTTGCCGGTAAATACTGGAAGATGAACTTTGATGGTGCTTCAAACGTCTTGGGGCATGGGATTGGGGCAATCTTGGTCTCACCAAGTGAAGAGCATTATCCTTTTACCAGTCGGCTTAATTTTGATTGTACAAACAATATGGCTGAATATGAGGCTTGTGTTATGGGTCTTAGAGCAGCTATTGAACTCAAAGCAAAAATGCTGAAGGTATATGGGGATTCAGCTTTGGTAATTTACCAACTCAGAGGTGAATGGGAAACCAAAGATCCCAAACTTGTGGAATATCGTAAATTAGTTCTGGGACTTATTGAAGAATTTGAAGAAGTGACTTTCAATTACCTCCCCAGAGAAGAAAATCAAATGGCGGACGCCTTGGCTACTTTGGCAGCAGCCTTTAAGATGAACGAGCATTCAAATATGATGCCTATTGAGATGAAGGCTTATGAGTATCCAGCCCACTGTTTTAACATTGAAGAAGAAGATGATGGAGGACCTTGGTACTATGATATCTTTCAGTATATAAGATATCAAAGTTACCCCGAACAGGCAACTGAGAATGACAAAAGGACCATTAGAAGAATGGCAGCAGGGTATGTGCTTAATGGTGAAATCTTATATAAGAAAAGCATGGATCAGGTCTTATTAAGGTGTGTGGACACTAAAGAAACGAAAATGATTCTTGAAGAAGTACATGAAGGAATATGTGGCACCCATGCTAATGGTCATGTAATGGCCAGACAGATTATGAGATTTGGGTATTATTGGTCAACTATGGAAACTGATTGCATCAATTATGCCCGAAAGTGTCACAAGTGTCAGATTTATGGGGATAGAATGCACACCCCTCCTCATCCGTTGCATGTGATGACAACTCCGTGGCCGTTTTCTATGTGGGGCATAGATGTTATTGGGCAAATTTTTCCGAAAGCGTCAAATGGTCATCGCTTCATTCTGGTAGCAATAGATTATTTCACCAAGTGGGTAGAAGCAGCTTCCTATGCAAGTGTTACCCAGTCAACGATATGTAGGTTCTTGAAGAAGGAAATCATCTGCAGATATGGCTTACCGGAGAGAATTATCTCTGACAATGCATTGAACTTAAACAACAAGATGATGAAATCTGTATGTGAGCAATTCAAAATAAAGCATCATAATTCCACGGTTTATCGCCCAAAGATGAATGGGGCAGTGGAGGTGGCTAATAAGAATATTAAGAGGCTTATAGAGAAGATGACTGAAACTTATAAAGATTGGCATGAGAAGTTGCCATTTGCTATGTTTGCCTATCGGACTTCTGTACGGACGTCTACTGGGGCAACTCCGTTTTCTCTAGTTTATGGGATAGAAGCTATCCTCCCTATTGAAGTGGAAATTCCCTCGCTCCGGGTTTTATCAGAGGTGAAGCTAAATGAGGCAGAATGGGTACAGGCCAGATATGACCAATTGAATCTGATTGAAGAAAAGAGATTGAAGGCTATTTGTCACGGTCAGATATACCAGAAGCGGATGATACGAGCACATGATAAGAAAGTTCGCCCTCGAGAAATCCACGAAGGAGATTTGGTGCTCAGGAGGATATTGCCCATTCAAAAAGATTTCCGAGGGAAATGGATGCCCAAGTGGGAAGGACCCTATGTTGTCAAGAAAGCTTTCTCTGGGGGAGCTCTGGTCTTAACTGAGATGGATGGGTCTGAATTACCTCATCCAGTGAATTCTGACGCAGTTAAGAAGTATTTTGCTTGAAGAAAAAAAGAAGAAAAAATGAGTGAAAATGAAAAAATGAAAAATAAAAAATAAAAAATAAAAAATGAATGAAAAAAATGAAAAAATGAGGGTTCAAGATGAAAACTCAAAAAAGGGCGTATTGAAACCAAAGTCTGATCGAGTCGAAAACCCGCAAAGGGCGATTTGAGTTTTAAATTCAGAGTTCGTGTATGGTGGAGGATCTGAATTGTTTTTGGGGAGTAGGAATATCACCTGACATGGGTAACGACAATGGCCATTGGGGTTGAGACCAAAGATCAATGAGTCTCGGTGGGGACAACCAGAGGAGGAATTGAATGCACGTGAGATTCAATATTGGTTTATGGCATCCAATAATGGGAGATTTTGGGGTCCAGAAAGGGTTTCGCACTCTTAGGTGTCATCACCATTTTGGAGGTCCTTTAGACAGAAGCTACACTCGAGTCATTCTGACGGCGTGCCAGTTCAAAAGCATTTGTGTTATTGATATTTGAAGACACCTATCCTTTTGTTCTTTTCCGATTAAAAGTTTGTCATGTAGTTGCCTAAAAATTCTTCGCCATTTATATAAATAAAGAGATATTTTCCCTTCTTGATTTCCCTTTTACAAGCATCTAATTTTGAGAAAGTTAAAACGCATAGCTTAACTTGTGGTACATGAGATCATTTTGTATTATTATGCAAAAGGTTCTGGAAATGCATGTATTCTGAAGCTAGCAATGGTTTTACCCATAAGCTTGTATGGTTGGGAAAAGCTAAAACTTTGGAATTCATAGAAAATCACAGCCATTAATAGATGACCCAAGGATGTTGTCATTTATCAAGAAGATTGGTCAGGGGTACTGGCAGGCCTCAAGAAAGAAAGAAGTCAAAGTCTTGTCAAGCCAAAAGTTATAGTATTGAGAGTATCAACTGGGGTGAACTGGTGAAATGCTCTATGCCCAAAGCGAAACCGAGTTCCACTGAAATCAAAGGGGATAGTATTCTTTCGAAGAAGAAAGTGGATTAAATTGCATACATCGTAGGCATGAATAGGATCATGACATTGCATGATTATTTTAAATGTTTGCAGATTTCCCAACGATAATTGAAGATTGATCGAGTCTTATACTCTCTGAAGAAATAGGGAGCAGACGCGATTGTTGAAGATTGTTCGAGTCTTATACTCTCTGAAGAAATAGGGAGCAGACACGATTGTTGAAAATTGTTCGAGTCTTATACTCTCTGAAGAAATAGGGAGCAGACACGATTGTTGAAGATTGTTCGAGTCTCATACTCTCTGAAGAAATATGGAGCAGACACGATTGTTGAAGATTGTTCGAGTCTCATACTCTCTGAAGAAATAGAGAGCAGACACGTTTGTTGAAGATTGTTCGAGTCTCATACTCTCTGAAGAAAGTAGGGAGCAGACACGATTGTTGAAGATTGTTCGAGTCTCATACTCTCTGAAGAAATAGGGAGCAGACACGTTCGTTGAAGATTGTTCGAGTCTCATTCTCTCTGAAGAAAATAGGGAGCAGACACGATTATTGAGAATTGTTCGAGTCTCATACTCTCTGAAAAAATAGGGAGCAGACATGATTATCGAGAATCGTTTGAGTCTTGTACTCTCTGGAAAAATGGGGAGCAGACACGATTGACGAAGATTTTCGAGTTTTACTCCCTGAAGCAATAGGGGATAAAACCAGTTTTATGGACGTTGCAGTGGAGCCGATTAATCTTTTGAATTTCTCATAATCGGACAAATTTGATCATCTAGTGATCTTTGCTATATTCTCGTTGCACGACAATGAGCAAATAGGGGCAGCTGTAGATGCTCGATTTGTCCGGGATCTTTTCTGAAGTTGAATTGGATTTATTATCGTTTATAGGATTAATGTTTGGTTATATTTATATATGATATATGAGCAACTAAGCAATTATAATGAATGTTAAGCAATTAAAATACATATGAGTATACTAATTAAATGTTTTATTACAGGGCCTATACCAAATTACAACCAGCTGGACCGAAGTGGCCCAAAAATCAAAATAATCAGGCTTGGATGTTCAAGCCTGTTTGAAGAACCCTAAAACCGTTAGGGTTTCCAACTTATGGATCCAGCCGCCGCTTGTCCTGGACCGTTGGATCTGCTTCTCATCCAACGGTCCAGATCAAAGACCACTAGGGTTTCTGGTCAGGGTTCCAGCGCCGTCAAGCTACCACCGTTGGATCTGGCATCAGGATCCAACGGCTCACAACGTCCCAAGCATCCCGAGCCAGCTGCAGTCTCACGTGAAGCCAACTCTGCTGCCAGACCACGCACGCCAACCGGACAATAGCTCGGCTCCCCACAGCTGCCGCCCGTGATCTGCTCTCACCAGTGCCCTGCAAACACACGAAACAAGAAGCAGAACGAGAGGCACGGAGAAATCGAGGAGAGAAAACCAACAACAAAAAACAGATATAGAGAGTGACCAAGGTTCAAAAAGAAAAAAAAAACCATCAAGGATCATCAGCGAGAGGAGAGAAAACAGAAAGGGAAAACACACAAAAAAGAAGAAGGAGAAAACAACCAAAAATACTCGAACCAAAAAACGATCAGCAATCGGAGAGCAAAAACAACAAAAGGAAAAACGAAACCCTCACCTCCTTGAGTGAAAGAGTAACCATCACCACCATTTGAAAGTCGAACCCCGTTGGGTCACCAAGGGTAAGCTATCGATTATGCTTTTGTTTCAGTGTTTGGTTTCATCGGGGTCTACGGGGGCTAGTTCTGGGTAAGTTTGGTCATGTTCGGGGTTTGGGGTACAGTTTTAACTCCTTAACGGAGTCTGTTGGCCACGGTGGTTGGCAATGGGCTTCGTGGTTGTGATATTTGGGTTGTGGGTTTCGTAAGAGTGAAGGTTTAAGGCTAGAAAGGAGAAGAGGCTTTCATCGGGGTCTTCGTTGGGGTTTTCGGGAGGTCTGGTGTTAGTCTCGTGATGGGGTTGAAGTTTTCTGGTAGGGGTTTGTCTCGATCTTAGACGGTGGCCGTGGAGATCTTTGGGTTTTCTGGCGATGGAGGCTTTGGTTTTCGGGGTTGCAGAGGGAGTTTGAGAAGAGTGGTGAGGGGTTGTCTAGTTTAGGCTTGTTTTGGGTTGACCAGTTGGTCTAGGTGGTCGTCGGGGTAATGGTGGCCACCGAGGACTGGTGGCCAGCCGGTGGCGTTGAGTGGTGAGGGCGAAGTCTCGGTTGAACCAGATGAAGAATCGAGAGAGAGAGGATGAGAGTGAAACGGCGGGTTTGGTGAGGCTAAAGAAGAAATGAGATTAGGGTTAAAAAATCTACCATTTGGTTTGTTATAACGCCAAAACGGCGTAGTTTCACGGAGGCATGAAACGGTAACGTTTGAGGCTAGGGGAGGAGAACCGGGTTTTAGGACGTTGGGCTAACAGCGGAATAGGTCCTTCCTCTTTTGTTTCATTCCATTTTGGTCCTTAAACCGAGCTTTGTGGGAATTTTAATCTTACCTCCTGGTTTCCAGAGTGTTTTATTTTGGTCCCGTATCATGTTATGGCCATTTTCTTTCCGTTTTTTTGCATTGGATATGTAATTTGAGAAGCTTTCAATTTGATCCTATGCAATATTTTGGTTATATTATGTTTGCAGTACCCAGAAATGAAAATGTTATGAAAAAGGTTGTTGTTATTTATTTTTTATGTTTTAGTCCTTTTAATATTTTTATGCATGATTGTTAGGTTAATTTAGATTTATTTTAAATATATGCATGTATATATTATTTCAAGCATGTTGTTCATACGCACGTAGGTGTAATTTATTTTTTATGAGCATGTTTGAATTCGTTCACTTTAATCGCATATTTAATTATTTTTTGCATTAACATCACTTCGTATAATTTTTGCATGATATCCTCATATGCATAACTTGACATTATTGCATAATCGGAATTAAGGGTAATGCCCTTTTAATCTAAAATTATCAGAATGGCTTTCCTTAACTTACAGGAAAGGTGTTTTGACGATATTAAATTAAAATGGTATCCCGTCAGTAACGCCTAATTAAATTCGGATATATCATTGTAAAATTTGGGAGCGAAAGAAAAGGAAATATTCGACTATTTAAACTTTTCGAGAAAAGGTCGTTAGAACTGAACTAAAGATCTGGTCTCGATATTTTTAAATAATCGAATATTCTTTATCTTTCTAATGACTTGGTAATTTTAAATTAAATCTATTTTGTTGTTTTGAATGTTGCAAATTTGCATGTTTTTCGTTTAAAGGGATCATTAATCAAATCAAATTTGAACTTGTGAAATTCGTTGCAAAGAAATTAATTAATCGACTTGGTACCGATTTAGGGCGTTGTGGGGGTGCTAATCCTTCCCCACACGTAACCGACTCCCGAACTTGGATTTTGGTAACGTAGACCGTAAATTTGTCGTTTTAATTAAAATTAATTTTTATTTAAAATGACAAAATGTTTTTGGGTGCCCAATCACATCCTAATCAAAGATTGGTGGCGACTCCTCGAACCTTATATTTTTTACCGTAACGGAATTTCCAATTTTTCGAAACGAGAGGTTTTCTAAAATGGCATCGTTTTTAATTAAAAATTCAATTGAAAAGAGAATAATTAAAAATGACGCGGTTTTCCAAATCTCGCCCCCGTTTAAAAATCGTTTCGACAAAACCACAATACATTTACCATTTGGTTCACGGCATACAATATTACCGGGGAATAGAGTCTTCATTTTCTGTTTAGTTGATCGGTAATTTTATTCTCGATAATTTTTTATCATCAACAATGAATTTTTGGGTATATTATCGGGAATGTGATTACCCCTTCCATTAGGTATTGTTGGATTACCGGCGTTTTGGACTAAAATACTCTTAATTTTTACGAATGTTAAATTATTAATTTATCCTTAAACTATTTTAGATTTACAAAAAAAATCCATAATTATAATTTTATATGAAATTCAGGGGTTAAAATAAAATTTTACCCTTTCATTAAACCTATTTATATTTTTAATTTTGTAAAAAAAATTATATAAATTTTATGAATTTAAAATTTTTAAAGAAAATATATAAATTAATTATAGTAATATTATAGTAGAATTCAACTTGTTAAAAGAACAAATATATAATAAAGACAATTTGGTAAAATATACATTCTAATAATCTTTTATTCATTTAACCAAACACGATAATCTTACATTCCTATTAATCCAGCCAAACATAAAATATAACATTCTCAACAATCATATTCTTTAATAATCTTTTATTCATAATATTATATTTTCATAAACCAAATACACCAAATCTAACGATATCAGCCAATAAGGACTGGGGCAAGCTTTACAAAATGCAAAAACGAGTCATGACTCACTAACTGAGTTGAAAATATCTCTTTTACTTCCTTCCACACAAACGACGTGAGTTTTATCATTTATATTGCGCTGTCGGTGATATTGTCCCCAAAACCGCGTATTCCAAAACCACCGCACCGCCCGTCCGTCATCTCCACCCATTTTCCTAAGCTACGCTTTCACGCTGTCGTTGATATTCTCCCCTCTATCCCTGAAATTTAGCCTTGCAGTCTTTTTTTAATAAAAAAACCAATCGACTTTAT